TATGATTTATATATACTATATTTATTATTATTTTTTTTTTGTGAATTTTTAAATGTATCAGATAGAGATTTGCATAAGCCAAAAATGAGCACTTCGTGCATATTTATGCAATATATCAGAGATAGTGTATATGAATAAATTAACATAGTGTTACCGGTTGCAACGGTAAATAAAAGTCGCACAGTTGGCGAAATTATATCGCAATAATACACAACTACCGTAGGATTCTTACTCAATACTGCCTTACTTGGCACGTCGGTATTGTTCGTTAAGAATCGGCAAGGTAAACAACTAGGAATTCGGATAATATGACAGGGTACGACAAATATAAGACGAATCTTATATAATGATATGTAGAAACAAGGAATTTAACGAATTAAGTTAACCGAAAAGTAGACGATTTTATTAAGCAACACGTAAGACTATAGACTTTACAATAAATTACTAAAACCAATCCTTAGAATTCTCTTTTTTATTTATCGGTTAGTTGGCAGAAGTTGGCAGAAGGCCATTTTTTTTTCTGATTCAGGGTGAAATCTAATCTATTGACATCTAATATTTTACCGATTATTACTTAATGGTCAATGTTTCATCGTAATAAATTAATTTAGTCACAACGGTGACGGTTTTCATTGTAAGCCACTTTTAATAGAACATAAATGACGAATTTAGGCAGCTAACACTATTGACCTAATTTCCTATAATGAATCGAATACATATAAAAAAATACAAATATAGAAAATAAATATACTGTATAAATAATAATAAAACAATATGTATAAAAATACTGTATATATAATATAATAAATATCATCCATCAATTAATCTTGTACACAAATCGTGCACGAATCGGCACCGGAAATCGACATGAACACAAATTCGCGTAACAATAGCGTCGAGTTGATCAAATTAAAAAAATTGTAATTGTCCGAAGCGGAGCGGAGGATTTTTACGTTTAAGACCCCGCAATGTTTGTATGTCCATGCACGTGCTCAATGAAAGTTATGCCATGGAATTTTTTCAACGCACCATTTAGAGTAAGGATAGACAGATACTGTATATACTAGAAAAAAAAATCACTACCGGTGATTAGACTAATAAAATTTAGATATTCGTTTATTAATTGTTTTATGTTTAATATAATAATATCTGACTCATATATTTGATTAGGCTTTAAATTAGACTATTTCTTAATCGATTGAATTAAGTAAAAAGTACATAGTATATATTCATTTATTCATTTATTCATTTATTTTAAAATTTGCGAAAATCACGAATAGAAAATTTTTCAATAATTAATGCTCGATTTTATAAGTAATCAATTACCACTAAAAATATAATCTACTTAATAAATTTTATTCTTCATATCCACTAAAATTAATTCTAAAATTACACACACACACATATTGTTACAACATTTATCTTCGATAAATCGTTTCTTCGGATATCGTTTACTAAAAGGACCATCGTCATTAAAAAAAATAATTTCTTTAGAATAATTTATCTAAATAAATTAAATAATGAATTAATTCAAAATTCAGAGAAAAAATACCTTAATTCAAAAGCGAACTATAGTGGAATTATTTGAACGGTAAACAGTATTTGTAAACAATGATATAAAAGGTAAAGTATATTCTTCAAATTATCGCGAAGATATTAAAAATTATATTAAAAATTAATATTACAAAATTATTTACATCAATTGGGTTTATCGTTATTTACAAAGAAATCAAATCGTGAGAGAAACATGATCACCGAATGATTTGCTTATTTAAAATGATAGAGTATCATGCATGTGATTTTTTAGGAAAGGTGCTCTGCACTTGTCCAATGTCCATATGGTATGGGCGGCTTATTATTTATATAATTTCTGGTAGAACCGGCGTACTGTAATTTGTTCTTTCTGAGAAATATATGATTTCTACCAAAATGCTAACTGAAATTAAATTCCCGACCGGGTTCAATCGTAATATTAACAAAGTTATTTATCGTTGTATTTAATATACAATTTTTTGAAGAAACAATACAACGAATTTCGCTCATTGGTGACGTCATTTTTCAAATTTCATTAAGAAAAAGTATTTAAATAGTTTAAATTTTATTTTATTTCGATCAATTTTTGGTTATTAGTTATAAGATTCTTCTATTTTTTTTTAATTCCGAACTCCGTATAAATGTTTATTCATTCATTTATTCAAAGAGAAAAAAAAATTGTTAGTAGTGTCAGCGGTTGATTAAAACATTCATGCCTTTCATGTCAAATACTACAAGGATCCTACATAAAATTAATCTTTTTAACCTTACAATCTTCGAAATTTTCCATCTATATAAATCGGACTTAAATATTAATATTAGAATATAAAATTAATTCTTTAGTACAATTTTTTTTACTAGGTACTATGTGTTATACGTTATTATGCGTTGCGCCAATAACGCCATTAGTCAAACTGAAATCTAGTCAATGTGATCATACAATAAAGTCGCTCCGTTACAGACTGCAAGAAAATTTGTTTAAATTAAACCTCGAAAATCTTCTAGGTTAAAATTACCATTTTTTCACTGTTTTTATAAGCCGCTCTTTTACTATCTTCTACTGATTAAGTAATTGAGCATTTGAGCCAAGGTTTTTATCATAATTTTTTAATATCGAAATGTATAAGGGTACATTATTATGACCATACTTATAAATAAATACTTCTTTTTATATAATCATATTAATTACCTATGTAAATTCCACGGTTTTACTTTCCATATTGTCCTCTATCAAATTTGTAAATGTCACTTCGCAAAAAAAAAAAAAAACAATACTGTAATGATTTCATGGATTTATAAATTTACTTTATCAGAACTATGTTTAGATGTATAAAATTATTTAAAAAAATACTGTAATCTTGAGCGGTTCAGTTCTTTGTAAATTTAATAGGTATTGATCGATTTTTCAAGTTAAAAATATATGAAATATTATACTTGTATATGTCTAAGTTTTGCATATTCAGTTTGATTCGAGTGGACTTCTTTCTAAGAACATTAGTTATAAAATACATTTATAATATATTTTGATCATATTAGAGCATAAAGAGCATAATTACATTAGAGTATAATATTTGAAATTTAAGTCATATAAGTCAAACTATATTATTTTCATAATAAATTCAAAAAAATAGTATAACATATATAAAACTCTTTCTATTTTCAAACTAAAATAATATTATTTACTGAACGATATACTTAAGCATCATATAATACCGGTTCTATTGTGTTAGCTTCTGTAAGTGTCTTCCAGTTTCTGGAATGAATAAATCAACATATATAACGCTTTATTGATGGCCCCATCTAAATCAATTGATTGCAGGCACCACTGTATGAGTGTATGTACTGTAAAACCAATCATGTTTTAAAAAGAAATTGCGTGCCAAAATGATAAGTTAGAATTATTAATTTATTTAAATTTCACTATCATATTTGCTTTTACGTTTCACTTCAGTTGTGTTACTATATAAAAAACTACATTTAATTCAAGTGACTACTGACTACTTTTTCATTTAATTTAATTGTTAAATTTAAAACCATCAATGGGGAATTTTAAAAGTTTTAAAAATACACTCGTCATAATTCCGGCTAAAAAATCTGCATGGCTTTTGACTGAAAATCTTTTCGCCGTCATCCGTGTATCCGCACGGATTACGGATTACGGATTGTGGATATCCATTTTTGTTATTTCGGATAGTATCCATGGATAAATAATTTCATATGGATAATCTGTGGATAATCTGTGGATAATCCTTATATCCACAGATATGCGAATAATCCTTTTATTCACAGATAATCTTACGAAACAATCTTTAAATTATGTATAAAAAACATATAATCTTTAGAAACCGGAATTATTGTAATACCTTGGAGTTTGGATTTTGGGAACAAACTTTAGGTATCAAAATATTAAATAAGGTGAGAAAATGCAAAAAATATTGTTAATTATTAATATATAAAATTTATTGAATAATTTATATTATCTAAAATTATTATTTATATTATCCATTTATCCGTATAATGAGTTATCCATGGATAACATGGATAACATGGATATGTGGATTATCCATTCAATTTTTTTAAAATTATCCGTATCCGGACTTGATTTTTATATGGATTACGGATATTGAATTTTTATTATGGATACATATCCATGGATAGACGGATACACGGATCCAAACTCTACAGTTTTCGGTATCCAGCAATAAAGAAATGCAACGGTTTATTGATTATTTAAACTCTTCTAGAAAAAATCTAATCGGATACCATAAAATGTTTATTACATGATTATCGATGTTTTTTTTCACATAATAATCATATTGAAATTTCATTCATTGAGTATTTTTGCATTTATTAAGAAAAACAGATAACATAGAGTAAATCTAATAAGTATATAGAATTTTTAAAGCCGGCTCTTTATTTAAATGAAAAATATATGTAAAAAAAAGTAATAAAAGAAATACTTACTAGGATTCGCTAATATTGATTGAATAGCATAATTAGCATCTATTGGAAAAAAAAAGATATTATTTTTTTTTGTTTTGAAAAACCATTTACATATTAATTTTAAGTTAAATTACCTGAATTAATTTGACATGACGATAAATCTGAAGAATTTACTGGTTTTGGAAGATTTTTAAAATTTAAAAGCCTACTAGTATAAATTGCTTGTGGATGTGTTTGAATATTTTTGGATCTATCTTTGCTTGATCTGCTTTCAAATTTTTTTTCTCCAATTTCATCACTTACTTTTATTTGTGAATAAATTTCACTATCTTCACTATTTTTACTATCTTCACTATTTATAATTTTATTAATTTCATCATTCCATTTTGTTAATAACTGATACAATTCTTTAGTAGTTGGTCTATTTTCTATTTCTGCATCCCAACATTTAACAATCAAGTCTGCAAGTAATCTTGGTACATCTTCAGAAATTTTTGGTCTCTGTCCTTTACAAATTTTAACAGCTAAAAATTCATCATGAGAAATATCACCATAAGGAATTTCTTCAGAAAGAAACTCATTCCAAATGAGTAAATATCTGCTGCTTTTGTATATTGATGTCCACGTAAAACTTCTGGTGCCATATATGGTAATACTCCATAAATTCCTTCTTCTTTAACTGATTTCTTATTTGCTGGTTGACACATTCCTAAATCACTTATAAATGGACTATAATCAAATAATATATTGCCTGAATGAAAATCTTTATGAACTTTCTCAGCAATGTGAATATCTAAAAGTCCTCTTGCAATTTGCTGTAATTTATCAATTTTTGATTGATAATATATATATTCTTCAGATTTATTCAAATAATTTCTCAAATTTCCATTTTCACAATAATCTAAAACCATCATATACTCTTTAGTATTTGGATCTTGAGTTATTCCATTACATGGAACAACATCACGAAGATGAATCTGAAGATGAGATTTAATCTAATTGATAAAAAAAAATTTTTGCTAATAAATAGATGTAAAAAATATTAAATAATAAATAAACTAAATTCAAATTACCTCATTTAAAAAATCTGAACTTATAGAAGAATTATTTAAATTTTTCAATGCATATTTATCATCATGATTTCTATACCACTTTTGATTTTTAATATCCCAATACAAAATATATCCTCCAGGCCATTCAGCTGAATATATTTTACCAAAACCACCTTCTGCGATATAAGTAATATTTTGAAATTTTTCAAAAGGTATCCATTCAAGATATTTACTACAATATACAGCATTAAGTTGTGATTGTTGTATAAATTCATCAATAACTTTATTTCCACTAGTCCAATTTTTAAAGTTATCTTTAAATCTTTTGGCATTACAAGGTTGACACCATCTCCATCCTGTACCAGGTTCATTACATTCTCCACATATTCCATATTCTTGTTTTCTTTTTTCTAAATCTTCCATATAAACTATTCTTTCATCTGCATCTTCTGATTCAGTAGTTGAATCAATAGTAGAAATCGTAACATGAAGCTTTTAATGTTCAAAAAATTATTACAATTTTAACTATAAAAATTCAATATTACTATAATTATTAATAATAAATGTGAATTTATAATACCTGATGTTTATTAAAATCAACTTTCTTCCATAAATTCTTTGGCTTATTTTCCATACTAATTAGTTTGAATTATAAGAATTATAATTTTATATATGCAAGTAATTTATTCAAACTAAATTTTTAGAATTATAATACGTAAAAAAAAAAGTTAAAACGAACGGGGTATAAATATGCACAATTTGTACTACAGTTACATTAAGATTAAACTGTTACAATTTTTTATGCAGAGAAAAAAAAATAGTATTTAGACTTAATATAGCAATTTATAAAGATACTGATCATCACAAAAAAAAATTAATATGGTTCAACTTTTTTTTCAATCAATTTGATAAGATCACTCGTAATGGCTATATTTAATAAATCTAATTTTGATACGTTTACTCATTATTTTGTTAAACTTAATTTCCAGGTTTTGCCAAATCTCTAGATAGAAAAATGATGAGCTTATAAATTTGATGTACCTTATAAATATTATTTTTAAATGATTATAGAATCGATTCAAACACAATATTGCTGATATTTCTTTATATTCTAAATTGCAAAGACAAAAAGCCAAAGATATTTCACTTGAAACAGTCAAATGAACACGAGTAACATATGCTCGTAATTGAAAATACTTGGAAGTTCCGGGTCTGATTGAAACTGATGTTCTAGAAGAATCATAGAAAATGCCGTGTAACTAACTCATTAGCTATATTTTCACAAGGATGCACCTACTTTTTTTTCAAACAAGTCAAATGATTTTCAGGAGTTGCTACATTACAATGACTTGCTATACTTTAAATTTATTATCCGAATTAATATTCCATAATAAGTGCTCGGAAATATAGTAAAAATTTTATGGCGTCTAAGTTAAATTTTTATGACTTAATTAATTAATTTAATTTATATATTATATGCTTTACTTGATAATACAAGCTTCTATAGAATCTCAATGAATATATTCTTGGTAAATTAATATGATAAAAAATATTAAAAGTTTAAAACATTACATTCATAAATTAAAGAGGTGATTTTATTTTTAGAAAAATTAATATTTGATAACATTTATTATCTAAGAGAATTTAAAATTTTTTTTCTATTTTCAAATATCGTGGATTGCATGATATCTAAAAAAAAAGTTCTTTTTTAATTAAAAGATTCAATATTAAATATAAAATACATGTATATATATACACATATACCGTATATAACCGAAGAAATCCAAACCCATCGAAAAATATATAATACAAAAAAAAAAAAATAAATAAATAACGTGAAGAAAGAACAAAACTCTCACCCATAAAAATAAAGAAAAAAAGATAATAAAAAAAAAAGAATAATATAATATATATATATATAAGTACTAATATAAATTAAAATAAATAATTGTTTTTTATCTAGAAATATATATTTTTTTTATAAATTAGGTAATTTTGATAAAGTTTTTCTTCTAAGAGGTGATACGGGACGTTTAGTTAACCATTCACGTTTTCCATTGAATCTGATAATCTTTTTCTTTCATCAGCACTCAAATGATCATTAATATCAGGTTTATTCCAAGAAGCTTTAGCGGCTGCTGCTGCTATAGGACTTATTACGGTAGTAGTAGTTGATACTGTAGTACTAGCAGTATATGTTGTTAAGTATTGTAGTAAAAGCTGCATCAGATTCTTCTCTACTTACACTCGCACTATTATGATTTCTTTTTGTCATAATTGCTCGACGTGATCCATCAGAATTTTCTTCAGCAATTAATCCCATATGATTTTGATGTCTAATATGTCCTGAAATACTATACACAAATTACTTGAAGAATTAAAAATAGTATTCGTTCCTATGTTACTGGTGGAGTTGAAGAAACAAATAATGACGTTAATATAGCGTGCCACCACCACCTCCTCCTATCAAAGATTCATCATCACGTCCATTCTTCTTTTATCACCTTTTCTTGTTGCATTCGCCAATGCAAATCTACTCGTCATTGATGTGTTTGAGTGTTTTGTTTTCGGTTTTATTGCTCTAAAAAATTAATTTTAATAAATTGTTATTGTCGTTTATTGTAATGAGCATGATAAATAACTTACTTGTATATGAAAAAAATTGAATCAAATTTTGTAATATTGGTATTGTAAAATCCATACGATTGCGTCATATTGTAATTGAATAATGTATGTGATAGGTGAAATATCCATTAATGAATGACATTATTAAAAATACTGACATAATTATTACTATTACTAATGAAGAAATTGCCAAACACAACCAGAAAGAAAGAAGTAATGAAATTTTGAAATTTCCGTTAAAAAAAAAAATAATAATTATTTTTTAATACTTAAAATTAACGTGTATTCACTTACATAAATTGCGGCACGTCTTTAAAGTTGAAACATTCCGCTGCTTATCAGAAGTACTACTAACGTTTTAATGCTTTATGTGATTCCATATTATAAAAATAAATAATTTATATAAATTATAAATCAAAATTATTAAAAAGATCATTATCACCCATATTACCCAAATTAAATGATGTATTCTACGAGTTGAATTCGCTTTATCTAAATCATTAATATCTACATAATGTCCTATTATCCATGCAAATAGAAATAATGTTGATATTGGCGATATCAATAATAATAAATCTATTATATCCACTATATATTTATTTGGTGGACTTTTTATTATTACTATTCTTTGTATGCTCATTCTTTGATTATTTTGTTAGAGTTGTATAATCTAAGAAGACAAAAAAGAGAGAAGAGATTAAGAAAGATTAAAAACAGAAAATTTAAAAAAAATTGATTTAATTTGGATACGCGTCAAAAAATACGTTTAATATATAAATCACAGGATGACGACAAGCCCTCATGGAGCTATAGTAACGTACCACCAATTCTTTAACAATGGGAGACAATAGTGTGAGCTGGAATAGTCCCGGAAAGAGGCCAGGCTATATTTTCAGCGTATGACCTTTGAGGAACCTATATTTGACCGGGTTTAAAAACGCAATCTTCATTTATTTGGTGGAGATATTAAAGTACAAAAATTAAGAAAATGATCAATTACTGCACCTTACGAGTCACGGCATTTTTCACTTTTTTTTCACTTACACAAATTAGTAAATATGATTGGATGACTTCTTGAAGTTTGCTCGTAATAACCGCTTTCTTTTGTTGAAGATAACCAGAAGGATCATTTCAATTATAATTTTAACAATATAAAAATCCTATCGCTATCATAAATATGTACAGTACAGTATACTAGTGTATCAATGTCCAAATGTAATCTTTACATCCTCTAAGTATTAACTAACGATGATGATATTAATATAATATTCGTTAAATTTTTCGTTTCTTGAATATCCGGACTATCTCTGTTAAAATAATAAATCTTTTTAGGGGAATAATTTATTTTTTATAAATTAGCGTTAGTAGTACATTAAATAAACGATATTCAGAAAAAAAAGAAAATTTAGGATTAAAAAAAATAAATAAAAATTAAAATCTACTTACCTTTGTTATGCTTAATACAAAGCAAAATGTGGTGAAATGATTTGAATGAACGGTAATGGTATTTCGCAAACGATGATAATAAAGATACAAAATAAAGTATATTTATTCTTCAAGTTATCGCGAGGATGGGTTTCGTCAATTTATTACAATTGTGAGAAACATGATGATCTCAACATTATCACTTATATAACCTGTAGAATATCATGTGATTCACTGCAAATAACTTTTATTAGTGAGTAGTGACGTCACTTTTCAAATGTGGATTTAAAAACAGCCATATCTAACTTTTAAAAATATTAATATTAGAACAAATGAAAATTTTTGAATTCTTTAGTTCCAACTTTTTTTAAACTAATTAATTTTAAACTCTTATTGAACGCTTATCATCATCATTGGAAATATAAGATAATGTATGATTGTATGTTCAGTTACACTTTATAAATATGTGTTGTACCATTAGTCCATCTGTCCATGTGATCATACAATAAAGTCGCTCTGTTACAGGTCATCAGAAAGATTTATTATCAAAAAAAAAAATAAATAACTAAGAAAATGGAACTTCCTATCGATTTTGTTCAGTTTTAAAGTTATTCTTAAAAATCTTCTAGGCTTAGATTACAGTTTTTTATAGTCTATCTTCTGATTAAGTAATTAAGCTTTTAAAAATATCAACGTTACTCATAAATTTTCTGGATTTCTTTTCATTTTCTTTCCTTTTTTTTTGATATTTTGATTTAACTCTCGAAATACCGACTGTTATTTGTATTTAAACTATACCGATATGCAAAAATTATGGTTTATCATAATTTTTTAATATTGAAATGTAATAGGATACATTGTTATGACCATGCTTATAAATAAATACTTTAATTTCTTTTTATATAAATAATTTTAATCATATTAACTACAAAACATATCGAAAATATTATCTTCGCTTTATCAGAGCTTTGTTTAGATTGTATAAAATTATTTAAAAAAATACTGTAACATTGATGTGCGTTTCGGTTCCTTGTAAATTTAATAGTATTGAATGAATTTTTCAAGTTAAAATATATGACGCGCGATTAAAATATTATTGTAATAACATACTTTGCGTATGTATAAGTTTCAAATAATCGATTCGAGTTGATAATTAATTAGTTCTAAGGACATTAGTTGTAAAAATGTATTTTATAATATCCTTTGATCATTTTAGAATAGAGTATAATAATTGAACAAAATCTTTTTCTTTGCTAAATCTGAAAATGAGATTTAATTTAAATATTAATATTTTAAAGTTCAAATATAAGTTAACCTATAATAAACATTTTCCGTTAAAAAAAAATAGTATAATAACATAAGCTCTTTAATTTTTCAACTAAAATAATATTATGATTCTATGGTGGTGTTTGCTTCTGTAAGTATCTTCTAGTTTTTTGGATAAATAAATCAATACATACAACGCTTTTTTTTTGGTGACCTCATCCAAATCACTTGATTACAGTCAATTGTATAAATTAATAAAGAAAATGATGAGTTAGAATTTATTAATTTATTCAAATTCCTTTTCATATTTGTTTTATGTTTAACTTCTGTAGTGTTATGTTAAAAATATATTTATTTAACTTATTTTTTCTTTAATTTAATTGTTAAATTTAAAACCATCAATGGATCATTTAAATAAAGGTTTATAAAATGTATTCTTTGACGAAATGGCTATCATCTTTTCGGATGTCCGGCATTAAAGGACTATGTAACGGTTTGTCGATTATTTAAACCCTTCTAGGTAAATGTCACAAAATATTTCATCAGAAATTTAAAATCTACAATCGAATATTGTGGAAATATGTGGAAATCTGTATATTTTCGGCGTCCGTGTAGGATATTTGGGAATGTATGGAATTTCACGCTAATTTAACATGGCCTAAAAATTTTATATTTATGATGTAATCATTACGCAATAACCATATTGAAATTTCATACATTAAGTACTATTTACGACTAGAAATACATTTATTGAGTAAAACAACATACATAAGAGTAATATCTACAAAAATATGCGATTTTACCATTATACAATTAAACAATAATTATCTAGTTAGTAAAAAAGAATTAAGTTCTTTTATTTAAATAAAACAGATACGTATATATATATTGCATAAATGTAAAAAAAAAGTAAACAAAGGTATAAAATATAAAATAGAAATAAAAGTAAGGTTAACTTCAACTGTTCAACATATTCTTCAGCTACCTAAATCATAGATTTCAACGAAAAATTTCATTCAACACTATTTTCGCCATCTTGACAGATTTCGTTTAGTTCTATAAGAATAAGTAAATAAATAAATCAGATAGGAAATGTTAATAAAGTTATAAATAAATAATAACTTACCTAATTCACTTAGTTGAACATCTAAGCATTCTGAAACTGTAAAGTAGTACTTGACTGTTAATAATTATTAATAACTTATAGCAATGATAATTAAGAGAAATATTTACTTGGATTCGCTAATATTGGTTGAATAGCATAATTGGTATATACTAGGAAAAAAAAAAATAAATTTAATAATGTAAATGGATTTTGATAACAAAATAAATAAGTTTAATTCCCTGTCGCACTAAGTGTCACTCATGATTACTTTCATTGATTAGCTGAGTTTCCCGGCCTCATATATATAGCCGGGAAATTTCTAATTTTGGTTTAAAATTTCATAATCACGTGTTAAATTGAATGAGTGACACAGCTGACACGCTCCTGCCGCCCATTTAAATGGGATGGGATCAGTATGGGTCATCCCAAATCCAAAATTCCAATCAAAATCTTAATTCCTTAATTCCGGCCAGAATTAAATGATCGGCATAAAATATCCATTCTTGGAAACTCGTGTAACAAAAATTCGTGATTTTTCCGATCTTTTTTGAAATTTGTGTAACATCACGTGACTCCGACGCAAAAATGGGATTCTCCCAATCCCATTAATATGGGCGGCAAGTATACTCCTGGGGATTACCAACTCCCCATGAAATAAATAATATAAATTACCTGAATTAAATTGAAAAGATGATAAATCTGAAGAATTTACTGGTTTTGGAAGATTTTTAAAATTAAAAAGCCTACTAGTATAAATAGCTTGTGGATGTGTTTGAATATTTTTGGATTTATCTTTACTTGATCTGCTTTCAAACTTTTTTTTCCCAATTTTATCACATTCTCTTACTTGAGAACCAATTTCAGTATTCCTATAATATTTTAATTTATTCCATTTTGTTAATTTCTGATACAATTCTTTGGCAGTTGGTCTGCTTTCTATTTCTGCGTCCCAGCATTTCATTATCAAATCTGCAAGTAATTTTGGTATATCTTTAGAAATTTTTGGTCTCTGTCCTTTACATATTTTAATAGCTAAAAATCCATCATGTGGAATATCATTATAAGGAATTTCTTCAGAAAGAAACTCATTCATTATTATTCCAAATGAGTAAATATCTGCTGCTTTTGTATATCGATGTCCTCGTAAAACTTCTGGTGCAATATATGGTAATACTCCATAAATTCCTTCTTCTTTAACAGTTTGCTTATTTACTGGTTGGCACATTCCTAAATCACTTATATACGGAAAGTTTGTAAATAATATATTACCCGAATGAAAATCTTTATGAACTTTCCTGGAAATATGAATATCTAAAAGTCCACTTGCAATTCGTTGTAATTTTTCAAATTTTGTTCCATAATCTATATATTTTTCAGATTTATTCAAATAATCTCTCAAATTTCCATTATCACAATAATATAAAACCATCATATATTCATTAGTATTTGGATCTTGAGTAATTCCATAGCATTGAACAACATCAAGAAGATGAATCTGAAGATGAGATTTAATCTAATTGATTAAAAGGAAATTTCTCTATAATAAATAAATGCAAGTAACAATTGTTAAATACAAGTCAAAGAAAATTTAAATTACCTCGTTTATAAAACCTAAGCTTATATCAGAAGAATTATTTAAACTTTTTAATGCATATCTTCTATGTTTATGTTTGCTTCTATGCCATTTTTGATTTTCAATATCCCAATATTTAATATGTCCATCAGACCATTCAGCTGAGTATACTTTACCAAAACCACCTTCTGCAATATAAGTAATATCTTGAAATTTTTCAAAAGGTATCCATTCAAGATATTTTTTATAATATACAGCATTAAGTTGTGATTGTTGTATAAATTCATCAATAACTTTATTTCCACTAGTCCAATTTTTAAAGTTATCCTCAAATCTCTTAGCATTACAAGGTTGACACCAGGTTTCTCCTGTACCAGGTTCATTACATTCTCCACATATTCCATATGCCTGTTTTCTTTTTTCTAAATCTTCCATATAAACTATTCTTTCATCTGTATCTTCTGATTCAGTAGTTGAATCAATAGTAGAAATCGTAACATGAAACTTTTAATGATCAAAAATTTATTACGATTTTAATTATAAAATTCATTACTATAATTATTAATAATAAATGGAATTTATAATACCTGGTACTCAGAAACATTAACAACATTCCATAAATCCTTTAGTTTTTTTTCCATACCAATTAGTTTGAATCGTATGAATTATAATTTTGTGTATGTAAGTAATTTAATCAAAGATAAATTTTAGAATTATAACGTAACAAAAGCTAAAACGTACGGGTCATGTACAAATTTGTACTACAGTTATACTAAGCTTAAACTGTTACAATTTTTTATAAAAAAAATGTACTAGACTAAATATAGCAATTTATAAAGAACATGCTTGTTACATTGTTACATCATCACAAAAAAAATTAATATTGTTAATATTGTTCAACTTTTTTCCGCTACTCATTATTTGTCACACTTAATTTCACGAGCTTACGTACCTTATAAATAGTATCTAATGATTATAGAATTGTTTCAAACACAATATTGCTGATATTTCTTTAATATGTTTTTGGTAAATTAATATGTTAAAATATTACATTCATGTATATTTACGTAAGGCTAACAAAAAAATCAAACCGTTTACGGTGGCAAAAAAAGATGACCGTATATTTTGTTTTATTTCTCTAGATTTTTGGAACCCGGACTTTTAGACGAGGTTCGGAATTACCGCCAGCTAGGAGTGCTTCTGAAAACTGGATGAAGATTAATTTTTGAGAATTTGGAATAGTGGAAGCGTATCACCGACATCACGTGCCGAACCGCAACCGACATAGAAGGGGAGTGTAACAGATCCTCACTATAGCACGGTAGATTGAATTGGATTTAGGTCTCTTTTTGAATGATATTAATTTTCTTTTTCTTGAGATAGTAGTTTATCTAGATAGTCTTATTGATATACAGTACATAGAATAATCCTGTAGTGTTTTTAGTAACGCATCCATACTAGTGTGTGCTGTGAAGTTAGTAGATAGAGATTATCCATGTATTTCTTGTTTTATTGTGTTTATATCTTTATATTACAATTTAATAAAGAAATGCGTGTTACTAACAAAAAAAAAATGCATATTTACGTAAATTAAAGAATAAGGTGATTTTATTTTAGAAAAAATTAATATTTGATAACAGAGAATTTTTAAAAAAAAATTTTCTATCAATATTAAACATAAATACATGTATATATATACGTATACCGTAGAAATCCAAACCCATCGAAAAATATATAATACAAAAAAAAACGTGAGAAAGAAAAGAACAAACTTCCACACATAAAAATAAAGAAAAACGTAAATAAAAAAAAAATTTATTTATATGTAAAATAAATAATTGTTTTCAGCTAAAAACAATATTTTTTTTATAAATTAGGTAATTTGATAATGTTTGTCTTCTAAGATGAGGTAATACAGGACGTTTAGTTAACCATTCACGTTTTTCCATTGAATCTGATAATCTTTTTCTTTCATCAGCGCTTAAATGATCATTAATATCAGGTTTATTCCAAGAAGCTTTAGCGGCTGCTTCTGCTATGGGACTTATTACAGTAGTAGTAGTTGATACTGTAGTACTAGCAGTATATGTGGTTAAGTATTGTAGTAAAAGCTGCATCAGATTCTTCTCTACTTGCACTACTATGATTTCTTTTTGTCATAATTGTTCGACGTGATCCATCAGAATTTTCTTCAGCAATTAATCCCATTGAACTTTCGAATGATTTTTGTCTAATATGTCCTGAAATACTTCTTATACCCAAATTACTTGAAAAATCATTACCATTAAAAATAGTATTCGTTCCTATGTTACTGGAGGGGTTGAAGAAACAAATAATGACGTTAATATAGAAGTAGTTGTTAACGTGCCACCACCACCACCTCCTATCAAAGATTCATCATCACGTCCATTCTTCTTTTATCATCTTTTCTTGTTGCATTCGCTAATGCAAATCTACTCGTCACTAATGTGTTTGAGTGTTTTGTTTTCGGTTTTATTGCTCTAAAAAATTAATTTTAATAAATTGTTATTGTCGTTGTTAATAAGAATTAATTGTAATGAGCGTGATAAATAACTTACTTGTATATGAAAAAAAATTGAACCAAATTTTGTAATATTGGTATTGTAAAATTCCATACGATTACGTATGTAATATTCGTATTATAATTAAATAATGTACTTGATAGGTGAAAATAACCATAAGTAAATGACATTATTAAAAATATTGTCATAATAATTACTAATGAAGAAATTGCCAAACACAACTAGAAAAGAAAGAAGTAATGAAATTTTGAAATTTTTGAAATTTTCGTTAGAAAAAAAAATTTAAAAAAAAAGTAAAAAAAAAATTTTTTTTAAATATTTAAAATCACTTACATAAATTACAGCACGTCTTAAAGTAGAAACAGTCCATTGCATATCAGAAGTACCACTAACAATTTCTTTACGTTTTAATGCTTTAATATGATTCCATATAATAATTTATACCAATTATAAATCAAACTTATTAAAAAAATCATCACCTATAGTACCCAAACTATATGTATTCTACGAGTTGAATTCGCTTTATCTAAATCATTAATATCTACATAATGTCCTGTTATCCATGCGAGTGGTGATATTGGTAATATTAATAATAAAAAACCTATTATATCTGCTATATATCTATTTGGTGAATTTTTATTATTACTATTATTTGTAAGTTCATTCTTTGATTCTTTTGTTGGAGTTATATAAGCTAATAAGAAAAAAAGAGAGAGAAGTGATTAGGAGAGATTAGAAGAGTTTAAAATTTTTTTTTCTTATTTTTTAATATAACTTACTTATGCTTATAGGGTATATTAACGCTAATCCAATGTCTAATTCTCTACTTAAATCTTGACTAATTGATCGATCAAAAAAAAAAAAAAAATTAAAAAAAAAAATTGATTTCAGCCATAGTATAATTTGGATACGCGTCAAAAAATACGTCTAATATATAAATCACAGGATAACGACAAGACGACAAGCTCTTATGGCCTTTATGGAGTGGACTATGGTAACGTACCACCAATTCTTTAACAATAGGAGACAATGGTGTGAGCTGGAATAGTCTAGGCAAGAGGCCAGGCTATATTTGAAATTTTCAGCGTACGGGTTTACAAATGCAATCTTCTATCATTTATTTGGTGTACAAAAATTAAGAAACATGATCAATTATTGCACCTTACGAGTCACGGCATTTTTGACTTTTGTTTTCACTTACACAAATTAGTAAATATGATTGGATGACTTCTTGAAGTTTTGCTCGTAAATAACCGCTTTCTTTTGTTGAAGATAACCAGAAGGGTTATTTCAATTATAATTTCTACCATATATAAATCCTATCGCTATTATAAATATGTACAGTACAGTATAGTGTATCAATATCCAATGTAATCTTTACATCCTCTAAGTATTAACTAACAATGATGAAATTAATATAATATTCGTTAAATTTTTCGTTTCTTTTTTTGATATCGTAAAGTTTTGAATATCCGGACTATCTCTGTTAAAAAAAAATAATAATATTAGGGGAATAATTTATTTTTTATATATTAGCGTTAGTAGTTAAATAAACGAAATTCAGAAAAAAAAAGAAAATTTAGGGTTAAAAAAATAAATAAAAGTTAAAAGCTACCTACCTTTATTATGCTTAATACAAAGCAAAATGTGGTGAAATGATTCGAATGAACGGTAAATGGTATTTCGCAAACGATGATAATAAAAATACAAAATAAAGTATATTCTTCAAGTTATCGCGAGGATGGGTTTATCGTCAATTTACAAGAAATCGAAATGTGAGAAACAAGATGATCTCAACATACATTATCGCTTATATAACCTGTAGAGTATCATGTGATTCATTGCAAATAACTTTTTTTAGGAAAAGTTAGGTTGTTCAAAATTTGTTAGGAATTTTATTATTTTTTTTTTTTGAATTAGTAAACTTTTCATCATTAGTGTCCGAAATGTGTGATAAATAGTGTTTTTGAACCTCGGGCTTGCACGTGATCATGTGACGCTAAAAACCGCTAACCATCACTCCTTACTCTAAAGCTAATATATTCGGCGTAACCTGTCACACATTCCGGACCGGCATCATTAGTGAGTAGTGACGTCACTTTTCAATAAATATTAATATTAGAATTTTTAATTACAGTTCCAACTTTTTTTAAACTAATTAATTTTAAACTCTTATTGAACGCTTATCATCATTAGAAATATAAGATACTGTTGTTTGTACTAGTATGTTCAGTTATACTTTAATGTGTGTTGTACCATACTACCATTAATCAAACCGAAGCTTAGTAGTCCATGCGATCATACAATAAAGTCGCTCTATTATATCTAAAAAATAAATAAGTAACCCTCATAAAAAATTTCTCAGAAAAATGATCACGTGCTTGAGTTTCTTCGGAATAAAAAACTAGAAAATAGGGTTGGATCGGTCCCAGGCTCCAAGCAAAGACCAGTCCTGTATCAGTCTTGGGACCGGTCTTCACGGTCTTCGGTCCGAGATTTGAGGACCGGTCCGGACCGGGACCGATTATATAAAATTTTTTATCTAATATAAAAATGATAAATTATATATTATTAATAAAGTTTTCATTGAAATATCAATTTTCATATTTTGGTATTTTGTAATATCAATTCATTTGATTTCTCATTGATTGCTTTAAAAATGTTAAAGTAACGAGAAATAAAAATTTTTCGTATATGCAATTACTTTGTGTTACATGATCAGCATCAATTTTTATTTTTACTCTTAAACTTTGAGATTTTATTTAGGATGAAGGTAATAAATAATAAATTAATTTTTAACGCAATTCATTATCTTGTTGATCCAACCCAAGAATACCGCTGCTATAAATAAGATAATGAAAACTTTAAGGACCGGTCAAAAGACCGATCCGGTCCGGTCCTAGCTGAAAGACCGGTCTTTTTGGGACTGGACCGGATCACCGGACTAATCAAACCCTACTAGAAAAATGAGGAGTTTTTTCCAGAATATTTTTTATAGGGAAAATGGAACTACCTATCGATTTAGTCCAGTTTTAAAGTTATTCTTAAAAATCTTCTATGATAAGATTACCAGTTTTTTATAATCTATCTTCTGATTAAGTAATTAAGCTTTTAAAAAATCTCAACGTTAAAGTACTCATAAATTTTCTGGATTTTCTTCGGATTTCTTTTCTTTTTTCTTTCCTTTTTTTATGGTATTTTGGATATTACTTTCGAAATATCGACTGTTACTTGTATTTAAACTATATTGATATGCAAAGGCTTTTAAAAATTATGGGTCATAATTTTTTAATATTGAAATGTAATAAGATACATTGTTTATGACCATGCTTATAAATAAATATTTTACTTTTTATATAAATAATTTTAATCATATTAATTACAAAACATATCAAAAATACTATCTTCGCTTTATCAGAACTTTGTTTTAGATTGTATAAATTATTTGAAAAAATACTGTTGGACGTTTCGGTACTTTGTAAATTTAATACTAGGTAATGAATGAATTTTTCAAGTTAAAAATATATGACGCGCGATTAATATATCTAAAATTCAAATATAAGACAAACTATTATAAACATTTTCAGTTAATTACTTTCATAATAAAATTCAAAAAAAAATAGTATAACATAAAACTCTTTTCTATTTTTCAACTAAAATACTTAGCATCTTATAATATCTGTTTTCCAGTTTTTGGGATAAATTAATCATGGTTTTTTTTTGGAAATCACTTGATTATAGTCACCGCTGTATAATACACGTAAAACAAATCATGTCATAAAACAACTGCGTACAAAAATGATGAGTTAGAATTTATTAATTTATTCAAATTTCCTTATTATACTTGTTTTTATGTTTCACTTCAGTAAAAATTACAATTATTAATTTAATTTGTTAAAGTTAAAACCATCAATGGATCATTTTAAAGGTTTATAAGATGTAGTAAATAATTAATAAAAAAAATTGTTCTTTTCATAATTCCGGCGAAATGGATTTCAGCGAAATGTCCTGATATCGGCTAAAAAATTTGCATGGGCTTTTGGCCAAAGCCTTATCTTTTCGGATGTCCGCCGGCATTAAACGGTTTATCGATTATATAAACCCCTTCTAAATCGAATATTCATAAATATTTATTACGTAATTATCGATGTAAACTTTACGCAATGATCATATTGAAATTTCATTCATTAAGTATTCAGTTTGCGACTAGCGATGCATTTATTAAGAAAAATAACATACATAGAGTAATAGCTACAAGATATTTGCGATCTTACCATTGTAAAATTAAACAATAACTATCCAATAAGTATAAAGAATTTAGGCTCTTTATTTAAATGAAAACGTAATTTCTAAATAAATACAACCGATACGTATATACTGTAAAAAGTAAACAAAGGTATCATATAAAATATAAAAATAGAAATAAAAGGTTAATTTCAACTGTTCAACGTGATCTTCAGTTACTTAAACCATTGACTTCAACTTTCAATATTATTTTCATCATCTTGACAAATTTCATTTAGTTCTATAAAAATAGGTAAATAAATCAGATAAGAAATATTAATGAAGTTATAAATAAATAAAAACTTACCCGATTCACTTAATTGAACATCAAAGCATTCTGAAACTGTAAATTTAATAAAATGTATTTGACCGTTAATAAATATGAATGCAATAATCATAGTAACGATAATTAAAGAAAATACTTGCTTGGATCCGCTAATGTTGATTGAATAGCATACTTAGCATCTATTGGGAAAAATAATAAAGTTAATAATGTAATGTAAATGGTTTTTCATAACAAAAATAAATAAGTTAATTTACCTGAATTAAATTGAAATGATGATAAATCTGAAGAATTTACTGGTTTTGGAAGATTTTTAAAATTTAAAAGTCTACTAGTATAAATTGCTTGTGGATGTGTTTGAATATTTTTGGATTTATCTTTGCTTGATCTGCTTTCAAATTTTTTTTTTCCAATTTCATCAATTACTTTTATTTGTGAATAAATTTCACTATCTTCACTATTTTTACTATCTTTACTATATTTAATTTTGCTAATTTCAACATTCCATTTTGTTAATTTCTGATACAATTCTTTAGCAGTTGGTCTATTTTCTATTTCTGCATCCCAACATTTAAAAATCAAATCTGTAAGTAATTTTGGTACATCTTCAGAAATTTTTGGTCTCTGTCCTTTACAAATTTTAACAGCTAAAAATTCATCATGAGAAATATCACCATAAGGAATTTCTTCAGAAAGAAACTCATTCATTATTATTCCAAATGAGTAAATATCTGCTGCTTTTGTATATTGATGTCCTCGTAAAACTTCTGGTGCCATATATGGTAATACTCCATAAATTCCTTCTTCTTTAACTGATTTCTTATTTGCTGGTTGACACATTCCTAAATCACTTATATATGAATTAGAATAATGATCATATAATATATTACCCGAATGAAAATCTTTATGAACTTTCTCAACAATGTGAATGTCTAAAAGTCCTCTTGCAATTTGCTGTAATATATAAATTTTTGATTGATAACCTATATATTTTTCAGATTTATTCAAATAATTTCTCAAATTCCCACCATTACAGTAATATAAAACTATCATATACTCTTTAGTCTTTGGATCTTGAGTTATTCCATAACATGTAATAACATCAAAAAGATGAATCTGAAGATGAGATTTAATCTAATTGATAAAAAGAAATTTTGCTAATAAATAGATGCAAAAAATATTAAATATAAATAAACTAAATTCAAATTACCTCATTTAAAAAATCTGAACTTATATTAGAAGAATTATTCAAACTTTTCAATGCATAATTATCCCAACAACATCTTTGCCATTTTTGATTTTCAATATCCCAATATTCAATATTTCCTTCAGGCCATTTAGCTGAATATATTTTACCAAATCCACCTTCTGCAATATAAGTAATATCTTGAAATTTTTCAAAAGGTATCCATTCAAGACATTTTTTATAATATAAAGCATTAAGTTGTGATTGTTGTATAAATTCATCAATATCTTTATTTCCACTAGTCCAATTTTTAAAGTTATCTTTAAATCTTTTAGCATTACAAGTTTGACACCATTTTTCTCCTGTACCAGGTTCATTACATTCTCCACATATTCCATATACTTGTTTTCTTTTTTCTAAATCTTCCATATAAACTATTCTTTCATCTGCATCTTCTAATTCAGTAGTTGAATCAATGGTAGAAATTGTAACATGTTTCTTTTAATGTTCAAAAAATTATTACAATTTTAACTATAAAAATTCAATATTACTATAATTATTAATAATAAATGTGAATTTATAATACCTGATATTCATCAATATAAACATTCTTCCATAAATTCTTTGGCTTATTTTCCATACTAATTAGTTTGAATTATAAGAATTATAATTTTATATACTATGCAAGTAATTTATTCAAACTAAATTTTAGAATTATAATACGTAAAAAAAAAGGTTAAAAAAAACGGGTTGGTCGGCGAGTATAAATATGCACAATTTGTACTACAGTTACATCAAGCTTAAACTGTTACAATTTTTTATGTAGAAAAAAAATAGTATTAGACTTAATATAGCAATTTATAAAGATACTGATCATCACAAAAAAATTAATATTGTTCAACTTTTTTTTCAATCAATTCAACTCGTAATGGCTATATTTAATAAATCTAATTTTGATACGTTACTCATTATTTTGTTACACTTAATTTCCAGGTTTGCCAAATCTCTAGATAGAAAAATGATGAGCTTATAAGTTTGATGTCCTTATAAATATTATTTAATGATTATAGAATCGATTCAAACACAATATTGCTGATATTTCTTTATATTCTAAATTGCAAAGACAAAAAGCCAAAGATATTTCACTTGAAACAGTCAAATAAACACATGAGTAACATATGCTCATAATTGAAAATACTTGGAAGTTCCGGGCTGATTGAAACTGATGTTCTAGAAGAATCATAGAAGATGCCGTGTAACTCATTAGCTATATTTTCACAAGGATGCACCTACTTTTTTCAAACAGGCGTAAGTTCAAATGATTTTCAGGAGTTGCTACATGGCAATGACTTGCTGTATTTTAAATTTATTATCCAAATTAATATTCCATAATAAGTGCTTGTAAATATAGTAAAAATTTATGGCGTCTAAGTTAAATTTTATGACTTAATTAATTAATTATTTTATATATTATATGCTTTACTTGATAATACAAGCTTCTATAGAATCTCAATGAATATATTCTTGGTAAATTAATATGATAAAAAATATTAAAACATTACATTCATAAATTAAAGAGGTGATTTTATTTTAGAAAATTAATATTTGATAACATATATTCTCTAAGAGAATTTAAAATTTTTTTTTCTATTTTCAAATATCGCGGATTGCATGATATCTAAAAAAAAGTTCTTTTTTTTAATTAAAAGATTCAATATTAAACATAAAATACATGTATATATATATATACTAATACACATATACCGTATATAACCGAAGAAATCCAAACCCAACGAAAAATATATAATACAAAAAAAAATAAAATAAAATAACGTGAAGAACAAAACTCCCACCCATAAAAATAAAGAAAAAAAGATAATAAAAAAAAAGAATAATATAATATATATATATAAGTACATTAATATAAATTAAAAATAAATAATTGTTTTTTATCTAGAAATATATATTTTTTTTATAAATTAGGTAATTTTGATAAAGTTTTTCTTCTAAGAAGAGGTGATACGGGACGTTTAGTTAACCATTCACGTTTTTCCATTGAATCTGATAATCTTTTTCTTTCATCAGCACTCAAATGATCATTAATATCAGGTTTATTCCAAGAAGCTTTAGCGGCTGCTGCTGCTATAGGACTTATTACAGTAGTAGTAGTTGATACTGTAATACTAGAAGTATATGTGGTTGAGGTAGTTACTATTGTAGTAGAAGTTGCATCAGATGCTTCTCTACTTACACTCGCACTACTATGATTTCTTTTTGTCATAATTGTTCGATGTGATCCATCAGAATTTTCTTCAGCAATTAATCCCATTGAACTTTCAAATGATTTTTGATGTTTAATATGACCTGAAATTCTTCTTACACCTAAATTACTTGAAGAATCATTACCATTAATACTAGTATTCGTTCCTACACTTATTCTTATACTACTACTACTTTTACTTATTCTTTTTATTCCCGTATTTTCTCCGCTAATTCGTTTACCATTATTAACATTATTAAAAACAGTACTATTTAAATCAATTTCATCACTAGTTTGTTCATCCGAAAATATGAATACAGGTCTTTTAATAGAATTTCTACTATAATAATCATTTTTTGGTGTTAAAAAGGATGGATATATTGAATTACCCTCTTCGATATTTGAATTTTCTCCAAAATTAATAGGTGATAAAATTTGTGAACTAGATCTTGTTAAAGATCTTCTTGAATTTAACCTTTTATACGCTTCATTACGATTTATTTCAATACTAGACTTATTTTGTAAAATATTATTTGTCATTGAATTCATTGCAGCTGCATTCAATCCATTTGAATTAGAATGATTAAAATAATCATTATTATTTGTATTTGTTGATGTCATTGTGGTTGTGGTCATATTTGTGTTTGTATTTGTTACTGGTGGAGTTGAAGAAACAAATGGTGACGTTAATGGGGTCGAAGTAGTTGTTAACGTGCCACCACCACCACCTCCTATTAAAGATTCATCATCACGTGAAAAATCATCCATCCTTCTTTTATCATCTTTCCTTGCTGCATTCGCTAATGCAAATCTACTCGTCATTGATGTGTTTGAGTGTTCTGTTTTCGGTTTTATTGCTCTAAAAAAATTAATTTTAATAAATGATTATTGTTGTTGTTGTTAAGAATTAATTGTGATGAGCGTGATAAATAAACTTACTTGTATATGAAAAAAAATTGAACCAAATTTTGTAATATTGGTATTGTAAAATTCCATACGATTACGTATGTAATATTCGTATTATAATTGAATAATGTACTTGATAGGTGAAAATAACCATAAGTAAATGACATTATTAAAAATATTGTCATAATAATTACTAATGAAGAAATTGCCAAACACAACTAGAAAAGAAAGAAGTAATGAAATTTTGAAATTTTTGAAATTTTCGTTAGAAAAAAAAATTTAAAAAAAAAGTAAAAAAAAAATTTTTTTTAAATATTTAAAATCACTTACATAAATTGCAGCACGTCTTAAAGTAGAAACAGTCCATTGCATATCAGAAGTACCACTAACAATTTCTTTACGTTTTAATGCTTTAATATGATTCCATATAATAATAAATAATTTATACCAATTATAAATCAAACTTATTAAAAAGATCATCACCCATATTACCCAAACTAAATTATGTATTCTACGAGTTGAATTCGCTTTATCTAAATCATTAATATCTACATAATGTCCTGTTATCCATGCGAGTGGTAATAATGTTGATATTGGCGATATTAATAATAAAAAACCTATTATATCTGCTATATATCTATTTGGTGAACTTTTATTATTACTATTATTTGTAAGTTCATTTTTTGATTCTTTTGTTGGAGTTGTATAAGCTAATAAGAAAAAGAGAGAGAGAGAAGAGATTATAAGAGATTATGAGATTGGGAGAGATTAAAAAAAAATTTTTTAATATAACTTACTTATGCTTATAGGATATATTAACGCTAATCCAATGGCTAATTCTCTACTTAAATCTTGAACAACTTGATCGATCAAAAAAAAAAAAAAAAATTGAATTGATATAAATAACACTCACTTTCTGCCATAGTAAAATTTGGATACGCATCAAATAATACCATTAATATATGAATCACGTGAACTACAAAAAAATAAATAAATCGAAAATGATTGATTAGTTACTGCGCCTTACGAATTTACGACACCATCCACACTTTTTCACACTTTTTACACACACTTTCTATATTTTCCATACTTTCCAGATTTTCCAATTTCACTTACATAAATTAAATATTATTGTAGTGGTATGAATAACTTCTTGAGGTTTAGGTCTTAAATAACCTCTTTCTCTTGTTGAAGATAACCAAAAGGATTGTTTTAATATACAATTTCTATAATATAAAAATCCTATCGCTATCATCATAATTATTATACAATATGGTACTAATATCCAATGTAATGTTCTTAATAAATTTTCTTCTTCACATCCACTAAAATTTATTCTAAAATCACAAACACATCTTGTTATAACATTTGATAAATTTACTGCTGATGATGATGGTGATATTAATATATTGTTCGTTAAATTTTTCGTTTCTTCGGGTATCGTAAAGTTTTTACAGATTAAAGAATACCCGCTTTCTAAAAGGACCATCTCTGTTTAAATAATAATAAATTTTTTTTAGGGAAATAATTTATTATATATATATATATAAGTATTAAATATAAGTAAATTAAATAATAATAGACAAATTTAAAATACAAGAAAAAAAAAAACGAAGAAAATTCGGATATTAGGAGAAAAAAAAAAATAAAAATAATATATCTACCTTTATTATGCTTAATGCAAAAGCAAAATGTGGTGGAATGATTTGAATGGGCAGTAAACGGTAATTCGTAAACGATGATATAAAAGGGATGTAGCACATAAAGTATATTCTTCAAATTATCGCGAGGATATTATTACGAAATTATTGTAAACATCAATTAAGTTTGAAAAGAAGTCAAATTATAACGTTTTAGGTATAATTTATAGGACCTAAAATTTATATTAACATTTATTTATTTATGAGGAAAAAAAAAAAAAAAAAAAAAAAAA